GACTGACTGGAATCCATTGCTGAGGGAGCAGCGGGCAGAACAGAAGCAGTCTTCTGTGCCATGTGGGTCACTCCCTGGCCAGGAATCGAACTCAGGCCGTAGTGGCTGTGATGGCTTCACAGTGCTGCGCTTTAACCCACTGCACCACCAGGGAGGGCCCTGTTTCCAGAACTCTTTCCATCTGCTCACCTAACTGCCCCTGGAAGTATTAAGTCCTGCGCCCCGCCCCAAGCCCCTGGCACCCACCGTTCCACCAGTCTCCAGGGATTTGAGTCCTTAGGGACCTTATGTAAGTGGACCCATTTCATGTGTGTCCTTCTGTGCTGGCATTTAACCAAGCACAATACACACAAGGTCATCCATGTTTGGAGATTTACCAGGTGTGTCTGCCAAGTTCCAGAGCAGAAGCTGATTGGCCAGTCTGGGTCATGTGCCTATAGCTGACCCAGTCACTGTGCCTGAGTTAGGAAGTATCTGGTTTTTCCGGTTGGAGTTGGGGGAGCAGAGCAAAGTAATCCATAGTCTTGCAGGTGAATGAACACCAAGGATGGTTTTTCAGGGATAAGATGGTCTTGGCCAGGTGCTCCTTAGAATGAGGGGTGGTGGGATTGCTGTGGGGCTCTAACTTGTTGCTCAGAGTGCACACATTGTTGACAGCCCTCTGTTCCCTCTCAGGCCTCAAGTTTGACATGAGATACATGAACTTCCGTGTGAAGGCCTGCAACAAGGCAGTTTCAGGAGAATTCTCCGAGCCGGTGACCCTAGAGACACCAGGTGACTGGTTCCCACACACCCCCACCCCGGCTTTGGCCCCATAACCCCCCTCCCACCCCCACGATCCCCAGCTTGGAACCAGTGTGTAAAAACAATCCTGTAATCAGGGTTCTGTGACTCTTTTTGCCTTGGCTTCCAGGGAGCTCAGAGCTCAGTTCACACTGTTCTTTAGCTCAAGTGTCCGGTACGAATCGGTTTTTGTCCTTTGCTTTTGCGGTCAGTCCCATTATGTCTGGATAGTTGTACATTCATGTACATCCCCCTTACTCACTCAATTACAGAAAATACAGAGTTGGAGATGAGGAGTCCGTAGTGGCGACAGACTTCCAGTCGCCCTCAGGGACAGTTTGCACGTCCTTCTAGGAAACCCCCTGCCGCCTAGGCTCACTCCACCACACTGGAGTCCGTCCCCTTTCCTGGAGCTGATCCCCAGTGGGAGCACCGGGCAGTGTGAATGGCTTCAACATATTTCCAGGCTGGTGACCTGTGGGCAGCGTGTGCTCGGCCTTCACACGTTCTGTGACCCCGCCCTGTCCATCTTCCCGCCCGCGCTTCTCTGCTGTCTCCCGCCTCTGACCTCTCATCTGTGTCTCGCTCACTCTCTGGGTCTCTCTCTTTGCTTCTTCCCCTTCTCTGTCCTGTTTCGGTCTGTCTTGGTCACCGTCTGTCTCTGTCTCTCCGGGTTTCCCCATCTCTGTGACTCCCATGTCTGCCCGGCCCCAGCGTTCATGTTCCGCCTGGACGCGTCCACGTCCCACCAGAACCTGCGGGTGGACGACTTCTCCGTGGAGTGGGACGCCATGGGCGGGAAGGTGCAAGATATCAAGAAAGATAACAAAGGGCGGACGGCGTCCCCGGTCAACTCCCCGGCTAGGTAACCGGCCCCTCCTGCCCTGGGCCGTGGTCAGGCGGGGCCTGAACACATAGTGGAGCCTTAGAGTCAAGATGGGGTGCAAGGTGGGACACAGGACTGGAGGGACCCACGCAGAAAATGAAGGGAGAAGGGGTTTGAACGTGGTTTTATTGGTCCAATAAGAATTCCCCAGATGACGGAGGGAGGACACAGGCAAGTTCTGACAGGAGGGGCCCAGTTTCTGGAAAGTATCAACCACCAAGGTGGCCAGGGTGGGGGAGGGGGCCAGGGCAGTCCTGTGGGGAAGGGAGGGCTCACCTGCCTTCTCCTTCCTCCCCTGCCGCTCCCAGAGGCACGCCGTCACCCAAGCGGATGCCCTCAAGTCGCGGGGGACGGGATCGCTTCACAGCTGAGTCCTACACCGTGCTGGGTAAGGAGGGCAGTGGGCGAAGGGGGCTCCAGGCAGGGTCTGACGGCGCAGGTGGGAGAGGACGCCTTCGGCCGGGAACAGAGCCTCTCACATCTCCTCCAGAAACGGTCCAGTAACTGGTGGCACTGTGGCAATGGAACATGACTTGGGCAGTTATTGAGGAGACCCAGAGCTTATAGAGCAAGGGGGATTTCGTGGCATCAGTGGAGTCTGGTATTTGGGGGGTAGCTGAAATGTGAGGAGTAGCTGGGAAAAGTTACTTATGATTGGATGGGTTCGTGGGGGCGCTGAAGCAAGGCAGAGGTTTGGGGAAATGGCTTAGGGTATGAGTAGAAGCCAGAAAGAACAGCTGGTGTTGGAGAAGTTGAGAGAAGAACAGGAATTGCAGGAGGGGTTAGCACCGCAGGCACAACTGGATCCTGTGAAGGGGAAGCTGGAGTTCGTGAAGAAAGTGGAGTTTAAGGGAATCACCACTGCCCAGAAAAGGGCTGGAAAAAGAGACTGGGCTGTGAAGAGCTCCATGGGGATGGCGTATCTGGGGAGAGAAGGGGAAGATGGGGTATCTGGGTTCTGAAAATAGGCTAAGCTTGAGGAGAACTTAAGGTTCTTGGAGGACTTGGGTTTTCTGGAAAGCTTCTAGGATGGGTGAGTTGGGTGTGTTGAGGAAACATGAAGAGAGTGAAGAGAGTGTCTGCGGGACAGCCAGGCTTTGTGAGGGACATCTAACTCTTAGGAAGGAGACTAGGCAGTTTGTGGTTGGGGGAATCGTTGAAGTCAGAGAGGAGCAGAAATGGGTATGGGAGTTAGTCATCTGGGAGGAGCTGAGCTACTAGGTGGTGCTGAGCTATGATCTGAGTCTGTCAGGAGCAAAGGTTTGGGGATTGTCTAGACTGGGAATTTTGAGGACTGAGAAGTATCTCAACATGGGGAGAAACTGGAAGACATGTCTAGGGTCCAGAAGTACCTTGAAGAATTATGTTGGGTCTGTAGAGACTGAGAGGACTAGTAGATGCTTGAAGAGTATCTGGGCTTAGTGAGTGTCTAGAGGAGTTGATGAAGCCTGGGGTCTACCTGGAAGGAATAGCTGGTCTCGTGGAGTATCTGGAAGGAATAGCTGGTCTCGTGGAGTATCTGGAAGGAGTAGTTGGTCTCGTGAAGTATCTGGAAGGGATAGCTGTAGCTTGGGGACTACCTGGTGGTTGCCCCTTTGTGGAAGAGCATCTGGGGCTGGTTCTATCCAGTCCCCACTGCCCACCCCACCCCACAGGGGACACACTGATTGATGGCGGGGAACATTATTGGGAGGTGCGCTACGAGCCAGACAGCAAGGCTTTCGGCGTTGGGGTGGCCTACCGCAGTCTGGGGCGCTTCGAGCAACTGGGCAAGACAGCGGCTTCCTGGTGTCTGCATGTCAACAACTGGCTGCAGGTCAGCTTCACAGCCAAGCATTCCAACAAGGCCAAGGTGCTGGACGCTCCCGTGCCTGACTGCCTGGGCGTGCACTGCGACTTTCACCAAGGTAACTCCAGGCCCAGCTGGCCTCTCCAGCCATCTCCGCCTGCCCGGTCTCTGTGCTGCAAGTTCCTCTTTTTTTTTTTTTTTTAAGAATTGTTCCTTTGGGTCTTCCCTGGTGGCGTGATGGGTTAAAGCACAGCACTATGATGCTACCACAGCCCCATTGTCGCGTGATCCCCGGCCAGGGAAGGACCCACAGGCACGGCAGACCCTCCTGATCCACCCGCTGCTCCCCTCAGCAGTGTATTTCAGTCCATCTGCCTGTTCTCCCCGCTCTGTCTCTGGTGACTCCTGTCATCAGAGACACCTCTGGCCTATACCTCAGTTCTGTAGGTACCAATAAATAAATCTTTAAAAAACTTACTCCTTTATTGTAAGATTTTTATTTATTTACACATACAAGAACTGGAGTGCAGGCCAGAGGTGGGGGAGGGTGAGAGGATTCACCAGAGACAGGGTGGGGGAGGGTGAGAGGATTCACCAGAGACAGAGTGGGGAGCCAAACAGGTGGATTGACTGAAATCCACTGCCAAGGGGAGCAGCAGGGGGGGGGGGGGACGACAGAAGAGGTCTGCTGCGCCCTGGGGGTCCCTCCCTGGCGGGGATCCAACTCGGGCCGTCGCCACGGTAGCGCTGAGGGAGGCCGGCAGATCCCTCTTACTGTCCCCGGCCATCTGCCTTCCGCCCAGGTCTCCTGTCCTTCTACAATGCCCGCACAAAACAGCTGCTGCACACGTTTAAGGCCAAGTTCACACAGCCGGTGCTGCCCGCTTTTACGGTAAGACCCCTCCATGGCGGGGCGGGCGGTGGGGGGGCTGGGGCTGGCTTTGGTGCTGAGCTCCCCGCTCCCCTCTGCCCAGGTGTGGTGTGGCAGCTTCCAGGTGACGACAGGACTGCAGGTGCCCAGCTCCGTGCGCTGCCTGCAGAAGCGGGGCAGTGCCACCAGCAGCTCCAACACCAGCCTCACCTAGTCACAGCCTGCTCGGGGCTGGGCCCCTGCCCCCCGCAGGGCCGGTTTGGGAGTGGCCCCCAGGCCTCGGAGGTCTTAGCCTCACACCCTCTTCTCACTGCTCGGAGCCTTAATTCCTGAGGGTGGTCACTAGCCGGAAGCCGCACCTGGGTGGGTCCTCCTCCCCACCTCGCTTCCTAATAAAGGTCATACACTGGCCAGGCCTCATTGCTGGTTCTCTGGGACACGGTGCCCTGGCGTTCTGTGCACGTCCACTTTCCCAGCTGTGAAATGGGCTCAGGCGGCAGGTGAGTGAAGTTGAGGACCGTGGAAACGAAGGGGCCAGCCTTAGGCAGGCACTGGCGGACCCCTTCACCCTCAGCCCTGAAGCCACGCCAGATGGGTAGTAGGTCTGAGGGTCACTTGAGCTTTAATTCTGGAGGAAGGTTCTGTCTGCCAAGCTGCACCCCGAGACTGGCTCATTGGGCCCCACTCAAGTGCTCCAGCGCCCGCCTCCTCTGCAGTTTCTCTTCCAGCTCTGCTGTCACGCCTGCCAGCCCTGGGGGGTGGGTACACAGCGTCAGTTGTGCCCGGATCCCCGTCCATGTTGCCCCCGAAACACCCACCGGAATTGGCTGCAGACTGTTGCAAGGCCCAGTACTACATGGAGATGTGTTTGAAAGGCACAGGCATTGCAAAACGGACAAAGCAGAGCATTGCCCAAAGCTCTAGGACCTTCTGAGTGTGGCCCCTTGGAGTGTGGAGACTTGTGCAACTGCACACTCCTGGGGGAGCCCCACAGACCCCTTACTTGTGGGGAAGACAGCCTGTGGCGAGCTGATGGCTGGCTTCCGGGCCAGGTCACCGGTAAGACCTCTGGGCTCTGGAGGAGGAAGGAGACAGGGTAAGACCTCTGGGCTCTGGAGGAGGAAGGAGACAGGCTGTGGCCGGCCCTCCATGGGCTGAGGCAGGGTGGGGGAGGGGCTCCTACCTGGCTTGGGCACAGTGGGCGGCTTCGGGAGCTTGGTCTGAGCCTTTGCCAGTTTCTTGGGCTTTGTGATGACCAGTTGACTCAGAGAAAGTACTGCATGGACAGAGGTGGGGCGGGTCACATCCAGGTGTTAACCAGCACCCCCACCCCCACCCCTCAGCCGCTTCCCCAGTCTCCTACGCACTATGTCCGTTCTCATAGTTGACATCTGGGGCGTCGCCGATGGGGATTACATAGTTCTCATCCTCTTGCTGGTTCAGTAGCGTCTGCAGGGGAGGTACCGGCGGCCGCTTGTCCTGGCTGGTCACAGTGGATGCGGGAGGCAGATGTCTAGGGCCACCTGCAGGGGCTGGAGGGCCTGGAGGGCCTGGTGGGAAACTGGTGACTGTCAGGGCCAGTGCTGCTGGGACATCCCCGAATGAGTCTTTGTGTCTGTGTTCCCACGCTTGCGAGTCTGCAAAGTGCCTGTTGCTAAGTCTGAGTTTGTGTCCCTGTGTGGCACGAACATGCACCAAGCTTGAGCCCGCGTAAGCGGGGTGTATCTACACGTGTGTAGACGTGTGTGACACTGCACGGAGGCTAAGGTACGTGTGTGGTCTGTATGAGTGCCCGCCTCTGTAGAGGTCTGAACTGGTGCTGCTGAGTCGTCTGTCTGCATTCCTGTCCACCGTGTGGCTTACAGTAAGCGATGCCGGCCTGGAATGGTGCGGCTCATGCGTCACGCGCGTGTCTAGGGAGCCGTCCGGGCGAGCTCTGGTTACACGGTGGATGCAGCGTCTGTACGTGTGTGTGTGTTGCACGTGGAGGCCTATCACGCACATGGGCCCTCGGATGTGCCCGCCCACGCAGGATCATGCAGCTCACCCCTCAGACCCTCCCAGTCTCCTGCTCTCCTTTTCTCCCACCATTCACCCTGATTTCTCATCTCTGAGTAGTTCTCGCTCCAGGTGCCCCCAACAAAGCTCACCTCTATCTACTGAATTCCTTTGAGACTTTCAGTAAACACCCCTTCCTCCAGGAAGCCTTCCTTCAACTCTGTCACCTCTTCTCACCGCCCCTAGGGCCCCACAGGGCTGGGATGACAGAGTCTAGCTGTGTTGGTCCTCTCTATGACCTCCAGCCCTCTAGGGCAGGGTCAGGGACACATCTGAGTCCCTGGAACTCCGGGTACAAGACGGGGTACACGCAGCGGGGAGGAGGGGTATGGCTACATGTGGATCCTTGGTGCCTCTCCCTCTGCCCAGCAGCCATTGTGGGGGGGGGGGCGTCACCTGGGTTAGGGGTCGCAGGGACAACAGGCGCCACCCACACACTTTCGCCATTCTCTTTGTTCTCCTGCACATAGCCTGGAACAGAGAGGGTGGCCTGGAGGTGGTGCAGCGTCCAGGGCTGACCCAGATGTGTCTGTTGAGTGGCCACGGCAAGCACCGGCAGCTCCTGAGGCAGCACCTACCTAGCACCTTCTCGTAGTCCTCTTCCAGCAGGAAGGGCACCAGCGCCCTTTTGGTGTTCCACACGAAATAGTTGACCACTGCATCCAGGGAGGTGCAGGAGAACTGGGGGTGGAGAGGGGCTGCCTCAGACTGGTGGGAAGGGACACGGACCGGTGCCCGTGCTCCCCCAGTCCCGGGCCCCACTCACCGGCTCCTCCACGTCAATCACGTAATTGGGTCCCTGGAGCTTCACCTTGTAGTGCCGGACGACGGGAACCCTGCAGGCAGGGGTGGGTGGCCTGACTCAGGTCAAGGAAGGCCGCAGGGGTCCTCGCTCCGCCCCCACGGAGTCTAACCACCTCCAGCTCCCTTGCAGATCTCTACGGGTCCTACCAAGACCCGGGGAGTGTCTCTGGCCCCAGGAAGGCCCCAGATCTGCCCTCACTCCATCCTGACCAGGTGTGCTCCCTGACCATGAGGAGCTGGTGTCTGGCTCTGACCTGGAGGCAGCGTGGTTCTGCCTCCAGAGCCCGATTCAGCCATAAGGGAGGGCAAGGGCGAGCCGTGACTCCTTCCACAGGTCGTGACTCCGCACGAAGGGCTAATTCGGACCCGGAATTTGGCTTCCAGGTGGCTAACTCAGACGCACCGGAGGAGAGATCCCCAAGCCATCGTCCGGATCCGCCAATAGGGTCCAGGCCCCGCCCCTGGAACAGATCCCTCCCACAAAGGGGCGGGACCTGACACTCCGCCTCTGGGGCGGGGCCAGCCTCCGAATACCACGCCCCCTGGACGCCGGCCCGGGGCTAAGGCCAGCCCTTTCCCGGCGGACCCCGCCCCCTGCTGTAGCCACGCCCCCGGCCCGCCGACCTCCCGCCGGCTCCGGAGACGCGCCGCGCACCCGTTCAGCATCTGGCGCGTGGAGACCGAGACGCCGCCCGCACCGTCCCCGCCGGGCCGCAACAGGAGGTTCCCGCACTCGGGGTACCGCTCCAGGAGCAGCTGCGCCTCCAGTCGGCTCACCTTCAGGAAGCACCTGGGCGGGCAGTGGCACCCAGTCGGGGTGGGCACGCCCGAGACCCAGCCTCGCCTCCCGGCACGCCTGCTCCCCCAGACCCAGGCTCCCCCTCCAGAAGGCTCAGCCCAGTCGCCCCTGCACAACCCGGCCCCCTAAGATCCAGCCTGGCCCCCCAGGCCCCAAACCCCGCCCTGAAAATGTTGCCCTGTTTCCCAGGCACCCAGACCCATCCCTAGACACCTAAGCCCAGCCCAAACACCCACTCGGGCTCACAAGAGACCTAATCCCCGCCCAAGCCGGGACTGAGCCTAGTACTCAGCTGGGAAGCTCACTCGCGGCCACCTTCAGCCCCGCGTCCCGCCCCCATTCGGGAGCCCCTCGGCCAGGCGGGCTCTTACGAGGGCATCTCCAGGGCACGTCGAGCCTCTTCTTTGGACAGGACCTCAGCCATCATGTACAGGTGTCCAGGCAGCAGGGTTAGGTGGGACGGCACGCGGAGCTGAGGGGCGATCCGGGCGTCAGGGGAGTGGGTGGCTGTGCCCGCTACACAGAGGGGCAAACTGAGGCCAGAGTGTGGAGGGAGCCAGGATGGGAAATCGGGTCTGGGGGCTGCTGCCTGGCAGCTCAGGGACAAAGAAGGCTTCACCAGCGTGGGAGAGAGACTTTGGGGATGGGTCAGTGGGCAGAGTACAAGCTGGAATCCAGGGTCTCGAAGTCTACAGACTGTGCCAGGTAGGTCCCCTACCCACGGGCTTGGGGTGGGGGCGCAGGCAGGGAACATGTGGGTAAAATGCATATCAGGAACGTGGACTAAAATTCCTGACTTTTTCGTGATGACAGCAACTTTCAGGTTTTTAACACGAGTTGTTAAAACGTGTGTATGGGCCTCATTTGGCTCATAAGCCTAATGACTTCTGCCTAATGACTTCTTTTGGGGAATGAAGGATGAGAAAGAAAAAAGAGGGTTTCTGAGGAGACCTAGCGGGAGAGTGGGGGCAGTGGGCACACACTCTGACCTCTACCACGGTCAGGATGAAGCCTTTCCACATCTCCCGGGACTCCAGGCTTTCCACCTAGGAAGGAAAGCGGGGGATGGCACCGGTGAGTGAGGCTGTTTTGAAGATGAATGAAGACAGGTTGATTTAGGCTGCTGGTACAAGCTCTTGGTGAGTGAATGGGCTGTGCTCCTTTAATGTCACCGCTGCCATGGCCCTGTCGCGCGTCCCCTCTTCTCACTTCCCCTCGCCCCTCCCTCACTCCAGCCACAGGCGCATCCTTGCAGCCTGGTGCTGCCCCAGGGCCTTTGCGGGGCTGTTTCCTCTGTCTGGACACCTGCTCCTGAGTCCTTGATTCAGATATCTGGGTTGCTCTCTCTCTACTCCTTCGGGTCCCCAGCGAGGCCTTTCCCGGTGATGCCATCCAACATTGTAGCTCTGACCGACCCTTTCCCCAGCACCTGTCTCCTTCGCGTCTCTGCCATCCGAACACCATATTTCACATGATTATGTTGTTGGTTATGTATCTGCACCACCGAGTGCAGACTGCACAACGGCAAGGATTTTTAATTGTCTGCTTGCTGTTGTGCAACTAGAAGTGTCTGCCACACGGTAGGCGATCAGTAATGCCAGCTGAGTGCTTGAGTAAGGGCAGGGAGAATCCTCATGAATCCATTCTGGGCTCTACGCACATTTTCCTATTTGTCACTTGGGGAAACTGAGGCCCCGAGAGGTTAAGTGACTTGCCCCATGTCACCAAGCCAGGGGTCGGCACTCCGTGGCTCCATACTGGCGCGAATGGGTGGTGAGCGCAAAGGAGACAGAGGGTGTCCCACCAAGGAACTTACCCTGAACTTGATCTCCTGGCTCCAGAGGGTGAGGCTGAAATTGATGCCAGAGTCTCTGGGGTTCCCGCAGGGACCCTCATCTGTGAGCTTCACAAATGTGCTTAGGTCTAACTTTTCCACGTGCTGGGGGCACAGAAGCGGGGTTCTGAGCATCACGCCTGTGACCCCCCCCAGCCTCCCGTTCTATGACTTAGCCTCTCCACCCACACCCTGGCCTTGGGCCCCGGGATCAAGAGTCCTGAGTCCAAGCCCTGAGTCCTCACTTCATCCTCACCTGGAAGTCCCGGTTGCTGTGGTAGAAGTAGACAGTGAGACCCTGGAGACCTGCCCAGAATTTCTTGTAGTCCTGAGGACCAGAGGCAGGGGAAGAGGGAGGTGAGGAGGCACGCTGGCTGCTTCTAACACCGCTCCTGCCTCTAGACCTTTGCCCCGGCTCTTCTCTCTGCCTGGACACTCCTCCCCCAGGTCTTCACATGGTTACTTTTAGGAGCTACTTTTGGGTTTTTGAACAAATGTTGCCTCCTCAGAGAGGCCCTCCCCATGGTGGTCCAGCTCTGGGGTATCTCCTGCCTTTTACCCACCCACACCCCATCCATGTGTCCGTGCTTGATATATCCATAGACACCTGCGTCCACCTACTGGAGCGCCGTCGTGTGCCAGGCTCTGTTCTGGACACCAGGGATAGAGCAGGCAGTGATCAAGCCCAGTGTGGTCAGACAGTGTCATCACACGCCAGTCACGTACCATTGCACAAGTCATCCCATGCCCTGTGCCTCAGTTTCCCTACTATGAATGGCAATAACAGCAGGACTCGCTCCCAAGGCCCTTGTGAGACTCAGCTGAGTTAACCCGTGTCAAGCGGAGGGCTTGCTCGGAGGCACTGCCCCATGCCAAGAGCCACCCGTCCTCTGAAACTGCGAACACAGCTCATTGTACCCAGCTTGTAGCAGGGAAGTGAGGGCGCTTGTATACTTGGGGTTCAGGAAGGCACGATCGGGCTGTGAACCTGGGCTCACGCCCTCGGCTCATATGTTTCGTAACCACTGAATCTGCCTCTAAATGCTTCCTAGGCTGGGGAGCTTTGGGGAGCACAGAGGCAGAGGGAAAGGGGGAGGGACCCCAAGGTGAGCTTGGGAATGGGGAGGGAAGGGCTGAGGGGGACTAAGGGCTTGGGACTTGATTCTGAGTGAGACACGGCGCGAGTGTGTGTCTCTCAGTGTGTGTCTCTCGATGGTCTCCTGGCCAGTATCCGGCCTGCTAAGTGTCCTGACCTTGACCCCCGCAGCTGACATTTAGCTGGGGGCTAGGACAGAGGAGACATGGGAGTCGGAGGCTCCCTTATCCTGTCTGTATCTGAGAGGCAGAGACCCCTAGACAGGAGTGAAACCAGGAGACAGACGGGGAGACAGGTAGAGACGCGGAGGTGGTCAAGTCAGCGTCAGAGAGAGACTGACAGTTGGAGAAAACCCTCCCAGCCCCCAGCACCCACCCTTGCCCCTTGGACAGGTGGAGATCAAGGCTCAGAGTGCCACACCTGCCCAGGGCTGCCCAGCTGGCCAGGCTCCCTGTCCCGACTTACCTGGTCTCGGGGACCCTTCTTCTCCAGAAAGCTCTCGTGGTAGTGCGAGGGCTGGGCGCCCTTGGGCTTGGGCCCCCGGGGTGCGCTCAAGGCCGAGGCCATGGCAGGCCGGCTGCGCTCAAGCCTGGGCCTCCAGTGGGTGCCCTGGCTGGTGGCGGCGGGCGGCGGGAGCAGAGAAACTGGTTCTAGGGGAATTTCCTCTGCAGTCTTTGGCCCTGCCAGCTCTGCACTCCCTCCCTGCCAGCACAGGGCGAGGCTGGGCAGGTCCAAGGATCCCGGGGAAATCCCAGCCTCCCTGGTCTCCGGTGGAGACCTCTTACTGGAGGGAAGGAAAGCAGGAGGGAGGGAAGGGAGGAGGAAGGGCTGAGGGAGACGGGGAAGGGCAGCAGAGGAGGAGGAACCTTCTCAGCGAAGGCCTGGAAGCAGCTGGAGCGAGAAAGCTTCTGCCCAAGTGGCAAGGCCTGAAATGTCTCATTAGCCGCCTGGACATTGGCATAAGCCCTCCACTCTCAAGGGGGAAATCTTGCTGGGATTTTGAGAGATTTGCCATCTTTATTTGTTTGTTTTTAAAGATTTATTTATGCACATAAGAACTGGGCTACAGACCAGAGGCCAGGGCCGGTGAGAGGATTCACCAAAGACAGAGCGGGGAGCAGAACAGACCGACTGAGGAAGCGCACTGCTGAGGGGAGCAGCGGGCAGTCAGGAGAGGTCTGCTGTGCCCTGTGGGTCAGCTCCAGGGCGGGGATGGAACTCACTGAAGTAGCTTTAGCTTCTCAGTGCTGCGCTCTAACCCGCGGTGCCACCGGGAGGCCCACACCTCTCTGAGTGCCAGTTGTCAGGCATCTACTGCTGTGTGCAGGTGGGCAGGTGGTTTTGCTGCTGCCAGTGTGCCCTGCCGCCTGCTGAGCTACCTCGCCTGTCTGCGCAGGGCCATTTCTAGGTTGCAGCTTCTTGGGCCACCCAGGGCTGGCCTCCTCGTGACTGCTCACCTGTGCACCTTTGCTGTTTTGGCTTTACTTTGCAGACTAGAACTTCCAGCTCTGTGCTGAGTAAGGTGGAGACAGGGTGATGCCCGGATGCCAGTCTCGGTTCCCTTGGCCAATAAAAGGAGACAGAGTTTGAGGAGAAGGAAACTAGGTCAATTTTTAAGAAAGATTTATTTCTGTATGCACACAAGAA